CTGCAATCCAAGCATAGATCGTATCATTTCTCGTTACCAATGAATTCATATGTTGACTATATGAAAACTAAGTTAGAACAGAAGGTATCTTCATCGAACGAACTCCTTACTCTCCGCATAAACGACAGAATTGTACAAAGGCTGTGCATGCTAATTCACCAGTAAACGTCGCGTCTATTTCTTGTTGAATAGCTTCGCGAGTATGCATATTCAAAGGTGATAAACTATCGTCTGAAACAAAACATTTGGTTAGTCACATACAGTTTATTCAGTTCATATACCAACCTTCGGCATATGGTGTTGATAGTAAACTGTGACTGATACTTCGTGGTGTTCTTTCGGTTAAACTTCGCGGCTTCACAGGTGATCCAATTTTGTATGAATTAGTCAGACTATCAATTGTTATACGACAGTATTCATCACCATCAGTGCTATTCACATGGCTACTGGGACCATACGGAGATACTGGTGAGTTCGCACGATGTACTGAGAAACCTGAAACGAGATATTCCACGGATTGAAATGATTGCTTCTTTCCTTTAGAATTATACTGCTGAACGAAGTATTTCGAGATCGATTGTTATCATCAGATGGTTCGCTGGTCGACTGAAAACACGCGAAGAATGCTCGAATCGAATCATTCATATACAAACGTGTCCCTTCGTAACCCAACCGAAGACAAAGCAAGAATAGAATATCCAGTACTACAATAATCGATTAACATTCGAAGGCATTTTCTTTTCTGGTTATCCACGATAACATACTTCGATAGGCACATATTGAACGAGCTCGTTCGAATGATGGAAAATGGACCGTATTCGATGAAAGTAATGTAAGACATGGGTGAAGAACGTGAGTTTTAATCGGATCCTATACGACGGAAAAATACAAGATAATACATAAAGATCGAACAATGATAGGAACTTACTGCTAAATGTCCCATTAAAGTGCTGTCACTCATGTATGGAAGAATACATTTTAAAAGAACCATACAACTAAGTAATCCCGATTCCGATCGAATGGTCAATCGATGATTGGCTGCTCGAATCTAAATTCATATATTATACTCCTCAAACATTCATTTGGATATCAAAGTTATCAACGAACTGCTTCAATTAGATGTGGAAGATAGAAAAGCAGAATGATTTGTTCGCCATAGTTTTGAATAAGTGATAAAAGACAATCGATGATTTTCTTTGCATTCAAATCTCCACGCACGGAACGAATACTTTTGAACGGATTCTTCTCCGATGATAACAATTGCAATTGTTCATCATCGACATAACATAACGCCAACATGCGAAGTAAATGTCGACCAAAGTATTTACATCCAAGCACAGGACCTAATTTCAACTGTAAGTATATAATACTTTCAGCAGCAGAGTCAGATAATATATTCAAAGTTTGCTGTTCATCATTTGACTAGAAGAAAACTTAAAATGAAATGTAAAATGTGTTCGTTTCACTTACATCAAGGAAAGTTGTATCATAATCGGATGGATTTGGTGTATCTGATTGCTCATTACCGGTCTCGTCTGTTTCGTTAATTACATCATTTGTATTCGTATTGTTTTCGTCGTCGATATCCGTTTTAAGACTGATTTCATCCTTAAAACTTGAACAAGCTTCAATGAGTAACAGCGGAAACGATTGCAGAAATTTAACTAAACCAAAGCGTGCAATCAATTGAATGATGAATCGACGTGTAAAGCAACGCCAATGATAGATCGTCGTTCGCTCCGGATTCAAAGTTGACTGAATTAATGTTAATAGATGTCGACGAGTGTCCTCGGGACCGAGAACAACGGCTAAAGGATTGAATAGAAAATAAATACAACGAACTCCATAGATCGGATGACGAAATGCATCGAGAACGTAAGGCATTAACAAATCATGAGCTTGTTGAGTGTGTAGTGAGATGAGTAATGACGGAACTTGAGCTAATAAGAGTTGAAATTTTCGATCATGGAGTAACTTTTGTTCGATAGAATTTGTTGTAAGGAGAAGCTGTTGATCGTATTGTTCAAGTTGATGAATGAATCGATATAGTTCTTCGAAATAGTACGGAAATGGAAGAGTGCTAAAGAAACAGATTGATTGTTAGAAATTATCCAACGAAATTCCTCTCTTACGTTGTCCAACGATTCAGAAAAAACATCGCATTAATCGCACAATGCGATATTTGTTGAGGAAGATTACTTCCACTATCATTAGTTAAATCTAATAGTAACAAATTCAAACAAGCACGAAATGGTCTAGAATAACAAAATCGATAATACGTATAAATTTTATTTCGAGTTTTACACAGGTATAAGATGCCAGTTGTTGTTTAATAATTGTTTTGCAGCTGTCAAACGTTGAGGACCATTGCAATTGGCTGATACGTAATGCTGTTTACTAAGTAAAATCAATTCTAATATACAGACACCAAAATACTGTAAATCACGTTGACACGCATTGAGAAATGCAGATTTAAACTTTGCTGCCTAAATATTCAATAAATATACGAACGAATTCAAAAGATTTTCAGCCAGTTACTCGATGATTAACACTTGGAGTTGGTAATCGGCTAAATGATATCGAAGTTAGCATAAGCAGTTGTTCAATAGCATCCAAATGTGAAAATGTTTCGTTTAATTCGTTAGCTAAGGGGATCGATTCACTTAATCGACTACTGCTTCCGCTGGATTGTGTTCTACTCGAATCGATTCTTTAAAGAGCAAATGAAATTTTTCAGACAAATCAAACCTTAATTTTTTGGTTTGTTCCTCATCGAGTATTGTCGGATGACGCGTGGATGATGACGAAGGAGGATTATCAGTCATTTGACGAGTCGATGAAAGAAAACGTGGCGGGTCTGAATGAATAGAGCGATAGTTTAGAAAAAGTGTTCGCTTCGAATTGAGAAGATTTTGTTACGAGGCTTGAGAAATAGTTGAACAATTCCACCGCTACGTAAATCTTCGTGATGGTCAACCAATGGTAAACAAACATTTTTTGCTCCAACTGCACTTTCACCAGTTAACTAGAACGAATTATGAGAAGACGAAAGTGCTGAGAAAACTCAACGAACTTTGTGACCAAAGATTAAATCGATCCACAGGTGAAGATTTTCTGATATTTCACGACTTTCTAATAATTGCCGGTGTTTTTCAACAAATTCCTCTATATAGAAGAAACGTATGAATTGAATAAATTCTTCTCCTGTGAAGAAATACTTACCTGGACTTGAACACCAGTCAGGCACCAGTAAATCCGGCAAATCTTCATGAATTGATTGAAACAACGAAGGATCATAGAAGAATTCCGGTATACATTCTTCAGGGGTCCAAAAATACAATCGTCCAATAGATGATGGATATTCATTCGGTACCCAAATCGAACGAACATTCTTAAAGCAACAAAAAAAAAATACTCACTTGCAGACAAAAACACAGAACTTGTCATATCTTACTTCACATAAAACACGTTTTTCTGTTCGCCGTGATTTGTAAACATAATATGTAATAGATGAAAGGTGTTCACTTAAATGATGTGGTACAATATTTGTTGCGGTTGATATTGATGTTGAATAATAATTATAAGTTAGATCTAGTTGGGCGTCACCTTAATACAAAAAAAAGAACAATGGAACATATGAAGAAAACAGGCAAATTTTGCAACCTTTATTCAATCGGTATTTGGATTGTGATAAATCTCGAAGATTACATGTTGCACTCGTAAAATCGTTGATCCAAGGAAATATTAGATGGTGATTAGGATCATGAAATTTTCTTCCTGCTAGTGCATTCAATATCAGTAGATAATCAAAATTCGATACATGACCAAGTTGCCATTGTTTGACCAACTCAACAATATCAATATGTGTCCGACAATAAGTTTCATAACGATGTTCGACATGATAAACAGGTGAATGGGATATCGCACTTGCTGTTGTTGATGGAGATACAGTTGTAGTCGTGCATGTTGTTACTACTGACGGTTCGTCATGATGACCAGATGCATGCGGTTTTTGTTTCGAGGTTGATGGATGTGACATGCTATTCGTTCGTGATGTCGGCTTTGATGATGGATAGCCATGATAATCTTCTTCGAGATGATTTGTACCACCCCCAGAAGCGAAATCAATCGTTGCTAAACAAGAGTGAAAACGAGGTTTTAACTGTATCCAATAGCGTTCGTTAATATGAATATCTGTTAATTGAATGGGACCACAACTGAGACCACATTGATGTATAAACGAGATAGTTTTAAGTAATTGGTATGTGATAAACAAAAGACGTAAATGGCAACCGTCAATAGCATACGAAGAGTAAGTCGAAAGATCTCGAAGTGTATGCGACCACGATTCATAAGTTAACAACAGAGTCTGTTGATTCAAAGTATAATTTTCTATAGAAATAGAATGTGAACACAAACAAACGATGATCTTTTTGCGCGACATACTCAGAGGAAATAAGTTCGCTATTTGTGATAAGTATACATTCGTATTTGGTTGATCAACATTGTATAGAAGTTCAATAGCTGCTAATAAGGCATCCGCATGAGACTAAAGGACAAGAAATTGAAATATATTTCTTTACTGAATGAATCGAATACGAACGCATTTTATTATTGTATCCGTTTCATTTTGAAAGAGTGGAAGATATAAATTTCTGTAAATATGTCGTTCATACCACTGTAAAATTGTCCGTAAAGACGCATTTTCGCTCAATTGTTCCTCAGCGATATCATCCGCAAGTTTACTAGAAGTACAAATCACATGACAATCAAATAGTCTTTCATTCCTATCATTGCTTACATGAGAAACGGTCCATCTTGAAGAGAAATTCTCTCCGTGACATTCGACATTCAGTTATTTAATTCTACGTTGAGAAACAGAAAAAGAAGTTAGAAAATATCTCGAAAAAGAATATCTGATTGAATATTTATTGATCTGGTTTAATTGAATACAAAAAAGAAAGGGGGAAACGAATTCACAAGAGATTGAGTACACAAAGTTAGTCACTGGGATCCCACATATTTCCATGAGAATCCGGTTGATTTTTGTAGGCGATATCAACTACCCATGGTTTGTCTAAACAAAAAATAGAATGTTGAGTGTCTGGAAACAATCTGATCAAACATACCTGTTGATTGATACTTCACAGGGGGTAAATCGTAAGGAATAGGAAATGCTGGTGAGTCTGATACAGAAAATACTGATTGCGAAAATTGTTTGGGTATGAATAAAACACCGATTTCATATCTAGGAAGTTGTAATTAATAAAAATTTTCTTTTTTTCCCCGAGAAAACTACTTACGATCGAATCATCAATTGTGTGTTATTCTTCTCTAACACACCCCACGCTAAATGAGATTAATTTTTCAAATTAATCTGCTGATTTAAGTGAGAAAATGCAGACCAGCTTTCGATAGATTTGCGCTTGTAACTAAAAACCATAGAAGTTGTTTGTATTGGTCATTTGTAGCTCGTAAATATGTTTTGATATGTGGAGAAGCTCGACTACGTTGACGATGATCCGCTTTCCATTGACTAAAGATATCCTATAACAAGATTTCTTCGCAAAACACGGACTCACTGGAAAAAATTGACCAGCCAGCCTTGTTTCATTGCATTTTGTATATTCTAATCAGAAGATAAATTTTTCGATGTGGATGAAACACGAGTAACTTACATAAGGCAAACTTCCACCAGCCATGTAACCTTCGAGTGACGTACGAACATTTTCAACCGATGGATAGATCAATTTCAATTCAGGAGATTCTAAAGCCGATGAATTGAGCTGTTTGAGTGAAGTGAGAAATTCTTTTGTTAGCCAAGAATTGGCAGTTGCGCCCAATGATCCGATACTGGAAAACTTCAATAAATAAACATAACTTTTTCTCATGTCGAAAATCAGATAAAACAGACTTGTCCAACAATTGGTGCTGATGAATACTGAGCGTCGTTTTCTAGACCAATATATGTTTTCAAAGTCTAAAGAAATCATGATGAATGCTGGTGTTTACTTTCAAAATCAATGATTTATACCTGTCGGAGTTTTAAATGACCAAATTTATTCATATCGGGACCAGTATGACGACCAGGTATAGAACCAATCAGATGTACACTGATGAAATATTGCTTCTATTTCTATTCGATGATATGTTTTGTTTGACTTACTTAATATTACTAAAATCGTGTTCTGTGATGGTTTTTAACCAAAATTGCAATTGCTTAGCACGATATCGTTCGACATATTGAATTAGATCCTTCTTAAAATTTGTTTTGGATTCTTCTGTAGTACCATTTAGCTTCGGACAAATAGGACTTATCCAAATGCTACATGAAAAATAGCGTATGATCACTTATTGACATGATTTTCACGAATTACCCCTGAGTTTTTTGTTTCCAATCTTGTTCAATAAGATTTGCTGTATGAATAACAATGCGTAGGCCAGTTTCATACAATAAAAACATCATCTTCGTATGATGTGTTCCATATGGTATATCGAGACGAGCTGGACACAATTCAATTTGTGGATATGGCGACGATTGAAGTTTCAACGAATGATTATCATGTCTGGAATCACCATAAACAATCAATAATGGTTTAAGTCTGGAATAGTACAAAATATTTAACTAAAAAAAATCAAGAACAGGCAAATTTTTACCGAAATTCCGATGGATATTGTTCGAGAATGAATTCAATATCGAACATGTAATTAAATTGTGCCGAACGTACAAGTTGTCCATGTTGTGTGGAAAGAATTTCTATCAAAAAAGAAAGAAACTTAACCTTACACGAAGAGATCTCCGGGAATTGTGGTTTACCTTTGAAACTCATCGCATTCGATTGATTGTGTATGTGCGAGATACCATGAACCGTCGTGAGAAAAAAGCGAAAAGGTTCACTTTGTTCAAGTTTTTCAATAGGAGACAAATGTTTATTGGTCGACGGTTTTTCACGAGCGGCTAAAATATAAACCGAGCGATAAGAACAAGGATCTCAAGTATAAATGAATGTTTTTAGATGTGTTAAGTGTGTCATAAAACGAGCGCACGATTCTCGAAAAAAAAGCCAAGGTAGCAAAAAACAATTTACGGGGATGATCGTATTCAGCTGTATGTAATGGGTTCTTTTGTCGATAGCATGCTTCACCGTATTCACAAAGTTTTTTGACTGGACTATTTTCATTAAGGAAAGTTGGAGTTGGTTCTTTACTTGTCGTGGACGATGATGATGACGTAACGTCATCTTTTTTACGCTTTTTTGTTTCACTATCATCAGTCAAAACTGTAGACGATGTTCGTTTATTCGTCGTCATTGTCAAAATCTGAAAATTCGTCAGTTTCATGATCAAACAACAAAGCAAACGAATTACACGATATCAACCAAAGGAAGAGTATTTTATCAATTATTGTAAATAAGATAACAATAAAAATGATCGTATTGAAAAAGTAAATTTCTTTGTTATGAAACTTAATTCATAGTGCGAATGATCATTTGCCGACCAAATTTGTTGTAAATACCAGAATGTCGTGCCAATATATACAACTAACAACATACTGACAAATAAATGGTAGACTATCAGAATGAGAATTTTCGCAAAAGATATCTTCGACGTTTTTTCATGATGATTTTTCTAAATACGAAAGAAAGACTTGTTATGATCGAGAAAGAACTCTGCTTTACTTGTTCGAGGTCCATGAGATTCTGATGTTGTTCGGGCAATTTCAACAATTTATCGACGCTTGTTTGCACAAACACTTCTACCAAGGAACATTCATTTTGAATTGGTAAACAAAAGCACACGCATTTTTCTTCCAGTGACAATCTCTCGTCTTCTCGTTCTTTCTCTCGTTTTCTCTTATATAAAATACCCTGATTTATTTTCTCTAGTACGTATAATAGAAGTAAAGAACACGTACCTCAGGGCGTATGAAGTGACAATAGCTCAATTCAGAAACATGCACAAATATACGGCCGATTAGGCAAAAGACGACCCAGCATCAACGAAAGGATTTCAAGCAAAATAATTCATACCTATCGAAAATGTTTGTTTAAGGTGCATAGAAAAATCATTCGCACAGAAGTCTATAAATAACGCAAATGAAGTAAAAAAATTGATTATTTCTACTGCAACTCAAGCAAGCAAAATAGATTTTTGATCGGTGACAGAGACACATGCAAATCTTACACTCATCGAAGTAAGTATCGCGAAATCCTTTATTTAAACCGTACTATTGACTTCAAGAAAAATGTTTTTCTTTTCCTACATGAAAAATCATACGTAATGGAGGAATTTTGAGACAGATACTCGATACTCCACGATAAATATTCCAGTCGCTTACTCTCGGTACATGTATAAGTATAAAAATGATTTATTTGAAAGATCATTAAACTGAATACTTTTTCTCTCACCCACGAAAAGCAGAGCTCTTTCTGGAAGTCAACAGATTCTTAAAAAGGATGTGTCAAGATATATATTCATAAATGTAAAGCGTACATAGACATCCCTGTGATCGGTAGGAAAACGACTTTGTTTGCCCCAATCTTAATGAAAGCATTCACTTCCTTTTTTTTCGCCTACACTCAATCTGTACATAGACATTGAAAATGTACATATTTAAAGAGCTGGAGTCAATTTTCATATGTTCTCAAAATTGAAAGCTATTACAGAACGGATCTCATAACCTAAACGTAAGTAAATCTTGTCAAAAAAATTACTAAAAATGCATGCTGAGACATAATAATCCATGTTTTTTTTATAGATGTTCTTTCATACACAATTCAATTCATCAAAATAGATTTATTTTAATGAAAGAAAGTTGGCATAGACTATTAAATACATCACTATGCGCACATTGCTCTCAGGAAGAGTTCGAACGTATAAAAGTACATAGCGAAGCCTACGCGACTTCCATCTGACCGAATGTACCCCTTCTCTGATTGGGAACACAATAGCAGAACTGCATGACGACATTCTTGAAAAGAAAGCCTATAAATCTCTGTTGAATGATGACGAGATGTCAAACTAAACTACAACTACCAAACATACATCCATGCAAATTTCTAATAGAATCCTATAAAAGTATACCTCACTTTTAAAAAGCACTTACGTCTTTGTGTTGCATTTTTGTTTTGAAATTGCAGAGAAATTATGATCTAACCTTGACAGAAAATAAATACGATATAAGTGAGAAATGTTCTATTTCATGTGAACTAAAGATAAAATATGATCATTTATTATTGCAAAGAAAAATTATTGTTAATCACAAAAATTGGTTCGTATCAAGTTCAAAGAGAAAGACAATTGCAATGACAATCACAGTTTACAGACAATACGCGTTGAGAATCACTAACTAAGAGACGAGACTAGAGCTGAGAAAAATAATCAATATGAGATTGAAAATCAACGGACGAAAACGAGATTTTGTTTCAGAGTTCCTTCTTTTTCAGTTTATCATCTTCCTATTAACAAAAAAAGGAACTATACATATAGACGTTTCATCAATAAGCTTTGACATACCGTAGCACCTTTGCCATAATAGGGACGGTTATCAATGGTGACTTCCTTACAACGTTCTTGTTGTACAAGAAAATCTTTGATTTCGAATGCTTGAGATCCATCATTCAAGACAAGTAAAATTCGATTATCATCAATGACATGTCTAGAACAGAATGGCAAGTTGTTGGTGTTTTATATTGAATATCAATTTACCGAGTAACATCATATAACGCATTTTTCAAACCCCACCACCAGATTTGCGTGATTTCTTCTGTTTCGCGACGTGTTGGTGAGCCTGAAACGGTTGCAAACATCATTAATGTTTGTCCTTGCTTGGAAACTTTCATGATATGCTCAGGTTGTTTCCCAACGAGATCTTCTGGACGAATCATTGGACGAGGCTTTCGAAGGAAATAATCATGTCGTTCATCATCGGGCAAAACATCTTCATCATTATCCTTTGCAATGAAGAACGTGGAAACTTCGTTTGATCATTGTACAACAAAATTCCACTTACCTCCCATTCTTCGAACAAACTATCTACATCTCGGTCAGTATAATCACGCGGATCTTTTTTCAGGTGCGTTTTTTCGCGTTTAAATCCATCATCACTCGCATGAATACGAGTGAATGTATAAAATAATACGAGAATCGTAAGAAAAAAGTAGGAGTAATTCATTTGACGTTTGTTATTTTGATATGGTATGTCTTGTTCAGAAGAAAATATGTTTGTGTTATTGCTCCTGTCTAAGGTAAGGACACATCATGACACGCGACGCTATTCAATAGGAGGAGAGGAGTCTTGATTGAAGTAAAATTTTATCCAATGAGAAAACATTTTTCAGCAAGTGTTCATGTGCAACAATGACATCTAGATTGAGCAAAGAAAAACGATCCATCATGTATTTTTGTGCGTATAAATTCGAATATGAAAAGAATTTGATAATACAAGTCAATATGCACGTATTATTGTAATCTATTTTAATAATACTGCAGAGATGAAATCTCTTACTTAAGAGATTAGTCAAATTTGCTCATCCTATATGTAAAGTAACGAAAAATGGATGTAAACCAGTCCGTGAGAATGGAAATCATTAGAGTTCGATTTTTACGGAGCAAGGAACTAGAAATGTTTTGATAATGTTGTTTTACTGTTAAATTACAGAATGAGAGAGAGTTTGTCTGATAACAAAAGATAGACGTTGTGTAAAATGATGACGAAATCAAACATTTGCTTTTATTCTTTATACGACTTACATAGGTTTTTTGTTGATCGAAATGGATGCACTGAGTGTAGCAGAAATTAAAAGGAAATTCGATGGAAAACGTGTAATGGTAATGAGTCCACTGAAAATGCCAGTTGTTCATAACGAACCCAGTGTGGATTCGTCGGATTTTGAAAGATTAGCACAGTCGAGATCAAACGAATTACGTCGAACGTCTGGTATGTTCTCTTGTCTACGATATGAGAAAGTAATTGATTCTTCTTTTTGTTTAGAAGATTCAAATGCATCATCATTCGAACCAACTAATAATGAAGCAACATTCGCACGAGTGCTGCCTCAAGGATCAAATACTTTCAGACATATAAACAAACAGGATATTCCTCTACCAGCTTCTACCCACCGAAATCGAAATGAAGATGAACATTGTGAATCATCAACTGATTCAGTTCATGCAATTGCTTCTCAAAATGCAAACCATATCACTGGCTTTAAAAAAGCGCCTGTTCCTTTGCCACCCGGAGCTAATCGTAATCGTACTGGAAATACACAGGATTCTATTACAGATCCACTTATGTCTGATAGTATACAACCTTCGACTATTCTAAAGAAGCCAATCGTTCCTTTACCTGCCTCTAGTCATCAAGGGATCAATGACGAAATGTCAAGTTCAACAATGCCTTCTGTAGCAAAAAAACCTCCTGTTCCTCTGCCAGGTCTTGCCAACCAAATTCAAACAAACAATACTCATTTTGAATCATTATGTGTCACTCTTGATTCTTTATTACCGTCGAAATGTATGTTCTACGAATTGGACAATACAATTGACGATTATCAACGAATAGATGCTCGAACAATAGTTTTTTCAAAGCAAAGACCACCTATACCGAAAATGACGAAAGATGAAGTTCATAGTCTTCAACGATATTTAAATACATAACAAAACGAACAAAGATGTGCGTATAAATAAAACGAAAAAAAAAAGACAACAAATGTTCTTTTTTTCTCGGTATACATACGAGTGCAGTGATCTACCCTATTGAAATGAAAAAGAATAAAGAAAAGAGACGCTTGATAGAAGAGGCAAAGGAAAAAAATCGAACGAAGATATAAAAGAAAAATGAATTTCTAAGATACGGATATTTTAAAAAGCATTGCATACTTTTTTTCTGCATTTCAATATTGTCTTCCGGATATAACGTTCTGTGTTAATTGTGCAATTAATGGGAATGTTGATGGATATTAAATATATGTTCTATATGTATATATATATATTTGTTTTAATGAACATTATCCCTGAGTTGACTAAACGACGAGAATGTGAAAGGAACATACGCGTGTCATCCATCCGTAATTGTTCCCATACGCGAGAAGGTCAGCCATAGTTACCGTTGTAGTTCTTCATCTATACGTTGCGATGGATATATTCCATTTATGTAAACATAGCTGTTCATCAGTAATGCAATTATGTAAAAGAGAAGAAGAAGAAACTGAGAAAGTTCCTTTTCTTGTGTTCACCGGCTAAGTTTTCAAACGCAAGAAGGGAAAGAAGGGTAGAAAGAGAGAAGAAATGAATGTTTTAGTTTCTTTGTTTCTTTGTTTGTTTCGTTTTATGCATTGAAAGACTTGTAACAAGATTAGAAAGCGATGAAATCTAAACATTTGAGTTATTTGGTTGAACTACTTGGAATCCAGCTTTGTTGTAGCGTTGTGACGGACGAAAATGAAAAAACCAAATGATTGTGCCAACGACAAGTAAACAAAGAATTGTGATACATATCAGCGACAATGTTATCCATTTTAACGTTTCATTTCTTAATATTAATCGCCGTTCTTCATAAGTTTTGCCTCCGACAGTTGAAGGATTCCCATTATCGTCGTCATCGTCTGTCGGTATTGCATTTGGATCGACTGGTTTATTCGCTTTCAATGCTGATGTTTGAGAGTCCTTGGAGAGAAGAAAAAAGAGACAGACAAAGAAATGCACACACAGCCGTTAAATTCAATTATTACTTGTATATGTGAATGAGGTAATTCACTTTGATCATGTTTATCATTTGTTTGTGATGGATGTCGATGAACATAAGATGGCATTGGATGTGTTGAGAACAATCCATCATTATCATCATCTGTTGCCTTTTCTCTCGGCGGTATACGGAAATTCTTCACAATACTACATTCACTTAATTGACAACGTTCTTGTTGATTATCTGAACAAAGATCTGTGTATGTTTGATCAGGTTTTTTATCTAAGATTGTTAATATGAAATCATGTATACAATCACAATATTCGGCTTGTGGTGGCAGAATTGTCATTGTTGGATTTGCTTTTTGTTGTTTGGCAATATACCGTGCGAGAACGCATCGTGATGATGGATACAATTGGTCGAGAATCACCTTCGACGCATCAAAACGTGTTAAGTAGTTTAAATCGTCCAGTGAATGTTCAGTGAGATGACGTGTATTCGGACCAAGAGTAAACGATTGTATACGGGATGCATGTTGAAATGTATGATCTAATAAGGAAAAATAAATAAAAGAAACAGATGTTAGTTGAATACCTTTAAGTGTTTCAGCGTCGAGTTCAATTGTTTCAAGGCCGGTCAAGTATTGAAAACCATCAAATGAACGACTATCGAAGAAGAACTTCGGACGAACTAAATGCAATCCGTACAAATTCCGATAGTTGGTAAACGATGAAGCATTCAGCTTTCGTGCTTCATGCGCTTCGATAATCATTGAACGCACGGGATAATCAGGAAATTCTTCACTGGACACCGTCTCGACCATTTTGGTGAATTTCGCTAGGCGAATTTTACCGTTGAAATTCATTTTCGCTGTCTCATTACTTCGCGGTGTGCAACCTGAAAAAAGCAACAAAAATACATTTGCTGTTCGAGTTGTTTTCTTTGTTTTACCTTCAATTGTCAAATCGCCAATATTTGTATTATTAAATATTTCCTCGAACGAATATGGTTCGACGGATGAACTATGCAGAAACATTTGATCAACCTTTATGTGATGAAATGCCATGGGTGAGAAGGTAATTCGACCATTGGATGTTAATTCTAATGTAAATGTGGTTTTAAGATCGGATTTGTCGCCAAATAATTCATAGAAAGAATAGTCTTCGAATTGTAATTGAAGAAAATTATGGAACGATAAGGTGATTTTGATCGATGATTTCGGTTTATTTCCTGTTAAAGAAGTTGTTCGAGGAAACAAATGGGATAATTCATTAATAAACATTGATTTAACGACGAATTCTTTATCATAAAATGTTAAATGAATCGAGTCAAACGAGCGAGTCGTTTGTTTGATCGCATTCGTTAATCTTATTGTTGAATTTATTGTTTTATTGAAATTATTACATATCAAATGTTCACTTTCACCATGGAAAGATGTATGACATTCACACAACATATTCTCGAGAATATCGCACGGTGTACATTGAACATATGTAACAAACAGAAGAAGACAAAGTGATATCGAGATTTGATGAGTCATGTTCGATGAATATTGACTAGACGAAAGGTTGCTCTAAAAATATTCGAAGATGATAGTTCATGTGGGTGAGAGCGAACGACGTGATGATATGATGGGACTAAGTTTTGGTTTGTTATCAAGATATTTCGAACGTACACTCCCTACTTACGTGTTTTCAAGGCAAAAAAGGAAGAAAAAAATTATGAGGTATCTACATATTTCTTTCAATTATTTTCTCTCTCTCTCTCTCTCTGCGAAATATTCGAATGTCTTGATGATATCATTTTTTACTTTTATTATACGATGTAATGCAATGATTAGGTATCAATCATCGACTAGGCTATAGTAATCAACACACTTTGGTTTGTAATCGAATAGGGATATACATAGGAATCTACACAATGGTGCAATACTCGATCGTACATTTAAGAAGAAAGAGAGAGGAAAAGAAATGCTGTACGCTATTTCTACTGTGTACATGCAAACGATTGTCTCAATAGAACACAAGCGAACATTGAATTTCTATTATTCTTGTTCTCTTCTCTGTAAAAAAAAAACTTTTTTTCTTTAAATGCCAGCAGTTGCCAACTGATCGTGTTTATTCTCCTTTTATACACATTTTCTATCTATCGAGATGAATCTATCTGAAAATCTAGTTGAATGTATTACATACAATAAAGAAAAGAAGAGAAGAAATGAGAATTACGTAATCAACAGGAAGAGTCAAACAACCTTGTCTTACAAGGATAATACAGTTATCGTTTTAGCAGAATGATAAAAAAAACTACGAAGATCAACGTTGTTCTCTTTTTCTTTGTTAACCAACATTACGTCATGCCCCATTGTGAATTATCTCATATATGAAAAAATCGAAATCGAACTACATGGCATTTCTTATGTATATCTGCACATATAAGTTGGTACTTAGAAAACAAAATGCATAACAAACATCTTTTAATCAATCGTTTGATCAGTTTAGGAGATCGAAGTGGTTGAGCAGAGTAATGGCATAATAATGAATTTTCTGTCAACGTCAAAGTTGTCGTCAATGTTTCCACAGTCCGAAAACAACTGTTATGTAATCCACCTGATGAAGGACATGAGTGTAATATGAGATCAGTCAATCGATTTGATCCTACTAAAATTACACTAATTTTCTTATCGAAAAGTAACGAAATCGAGGAGGAAAAAAAAGGCAAAGTTAAGCCAATTCCCTAAACATTAATCATTCTGTTTGTCTAACTCTGTAAATTTTCAGCCTTGACAGTGATATCATTTATAACTGACTTCTGATACAAACCATCGAAGGAATACCAGTTCTTTCATGTCTTGTCAGCGCTATTTGACCTTGAAAGTAAAAAAGGAAAGAAATGTCTTCTATTTTCATTCTATCGTAAAAGGCTACTCTGCATGCTTACTTCGCAAAGTATTTTTCGAACTGTAAAAACTACGAAATTTACTGGTTCGAGGCGTTTTTCCTCCACCTATAGCAAACATCAATTTATAATGAAAAAAGAAAGAAAGAAAAAGTGAGGATCTTCGGCGTGTATTTTATCTGACATCAAGCTGGTTTTCTTAAACATAGTCATAAATAAAGTCAAACTCACTTGGAATTATAAAGAAGATTATTTCTGATTAATAATTTGTCTTGATTCATCTGAATTAAATGGCAAAGAAAAGAATGGTCCCGCTTTCATTCGTTACTGCTTGGTACGTATAAAGGCGAAGCCTTGTATGCAAGCGAATACATGACAAAAGTGTACTTGAAATAAAAATAACCTTGTCAATGTTCGCGAGTTACAAAGAGTGTATAAACAAATCTTGTCTTTCTAGTTTTTATCTATTAGTTCAATTGGATGGTACATTAGAGAGATACGGTCTTATATACGCTTCATTTAGTTCGATTTATATAGTCATTTTCACTTGTTTCAAACATACTTATCGAGAAAATAATCGAATAAAAAAGTGATCGATCAACTTACCGAAGCAGTTTTGTATAAGATCACTCAATGAGATCATTTCTTTCTCTTTTCTCCTACCGCTTATTGATTACTAATTAGAAAATCTTCTTTTTGTATGCGATCGTATTCTTTTGTATCTCATTATCTCCTATGGGAAATCCTAGGGGTGAAATGATGATGTACAAAAGTACTGCGAGAAGACAAAAGTAACCGATTTCTATGCAACTTGCTAAACATATCAAAGTAAGGTCTGTCTTCCCACAGAACCGAAAAACTGCATGTGGTTTTTTTTTGCTCGCACGACTTTTTTTGTCCTATTCTCCAATGTAGAGAACGCGAGAGTCGTAGCTAATGGAAAAATAAACGCGACTATACAATCTGAAGATAAAAGAGGGCAAGTATGTGTACTTCGTCTTTATAAACAATCGATTGTAACTCGTTTGTTTCTGCTTGCGTCAAAGTCATCAGATCATTTAATTACAAACGATTAATTGGAAATAGAAAGAAATATCAATGATCCCTAGATAGATATTTCTTAGAACGAGAAGGCTTCTACAGCGAATTCTTCGTTAAGTAAATAAGAATAATAACACTTACCGATCGTCGGCAAAGAAAGAATGAAAATATGGCGAGTAAATATGATGTTGTTTTTTTTATTCATGCATCGTTCCTTTCTAACAAAATAGATGGCAGGAGACAGGTAGAGTCAACTCAGTTGGTTGAAAAACCATGTCGAACTTGCGATCTGATTGCGAATAGGGAATGAGTTTTTCTCGTGCAAAAGTTTCGAGAAGAGAAAATCGTCAAAAATCCATCATAGATAATTTCATCAATGTTTTATTAGATCTGCTGGAAGAGTACTGCCGAAAAACGAGCATTTGCAAGATAAGAACAAGCAAATATGACGAGATCGTTCCAGCACAAATTGCGGTTAGATTCATGATAAATGCAAAACGCGATAAAAGATTGTTTCGTTCTATAGCATTTTACAACATAGATTTCATCATTGTAAATCGCATATCTTCGAGTAGCATCAAACAATTCTCGTCTTGCCAAAGAAATTACAATTGATCTGGATAATGTCGAAGCATGAGCTATAATTTATTCAGAAGACGAAAGAAACATTCACTATGCAACAGAAAGCAAACAAGAAGATCACGTTATTTTCTTATTCCTATCATAGAAAATCGTTGGAAAAGCAACAATAACAAGGGAATGTGGGCTTCTGCATTTCATTAAGTAGTAAGAGAAAGTTAACAGTTGAATCAGTTTTAAAACAAGGGAAAAATAAATGTTAGTGTAGTAAACTTCGAATTGAATACGATGACCATGCTGCGTGAATGATATTTATCACACGAACAGTATTATTTGAGCAAAAAACTACAAACATAGTAAAACGAATTCAGTTGGAGATCATTGATAGAAGATACAAAATCAGACCTGTATGGATAACCGTGATATTTTGATCGAAAAACAGAAAGAATATAGCTAAATAACGAGATGACAATAATAAGACCAATAAACGCCATAACGCCTGGAAAAGAGCAACATAAGGTTGTTTATGACGTGGAAAATGTTTTAATTACTTCTGCGTTTTCCTTTTTTCGATCGTATTTTCGGTGCTTCATTTAACAGGATCATGCCAACACAAACTCCGAAATGTGAAAAAGAAAAGAACAACGAAGTTAAGGAAAATAAACAAAAATATTGTTTCATTCTCTCCTAAAAATCAATCAATCAAAAAAGGATATAGAGTAAGAAGACCTAAAACGACAAAAAGAAACATTGTTACATTCAAAGATTAAATATTCGCGAAAATAATCATAACAAAAGCAATAGTAATCAGAAGAAAATCATGGCAATTCAGAAGTCATTTGAGAACATGACACAAATCTTACGATATAAGTCTCCATGATATACTGATGACCTGAATTGCGACTGATATATTCCTGCAAATGAGAAACAATTGTTGTCAAATATTGAAGAAAACCAAGAGGAAAATGTTCTCCGTGGAAAGAATTACATGCGTGTATGAACATCTGAATTGCTTATGAATGACTTTTCATCTGATAACTATTGTTCATGTTAGACTAAACGCTTGATTTTCATCTACGAACTACGTATGTTTCGGCAACATATTGCATTTGGGAATCATTGGCAAAGAATTCCTGAAAAGAATACGTTTCCACTAATTGTCCCTGCATACACGCATGTAATTACTTTACCGTAGCATCTTTTCGTGGATTCATAAATGGAGGTCCATTTATAAGATTCCAGGTTTGTCCGGATATGAAATAGCACACAACACCCTAAATAGAAAAGCGAATGACACTTACAGTGTGTCCTGTTTTTTGGTCGTGATTAGCAAATGTTGAACCATGAATGTTGTTCCACATTTGTCCCGAGACAAAAGTTAAAATAGCGAGCTAAAAGCATATTATGACGCAAAATCTCCTCTGCTGCTCATTTCAACAAGAATAAGTTCGTTTTCGATGGAAAATCTTCAATGCTTACAATAACGATTATTCCCCAAATAAGGTTGTTATACAAAAATGAGAGACTATCTCGTTTAAGATAGAGTAAACCAGCGATCATTGCCAAAGCGAAGCCACCGATGAGAACTCCTGAGTAATCCGGTGGACGATAGATTTCAATCTAGAGAAGAAATGCTTTTGATCCGCAAATTTTGTAGAGGAACATACTCGAATTTCGGTACGATCTTGAACCCATTTGGCTAAGTGATCAGCAGAAAATCCACGCCTAAAATTTGCTCAAATTCAACCGAAATTTTATCAAATTAGACTCACGCACCGGTTTAAGTCCAACTGATCGCCTTTTTTTGGTTTGGTTTTTGGTGGAAAATGAATAAAGACCGGTGCCGAGTTGAGTTTCAACTAAAATAACTCAAATAAACTTTTCCGCAGGGAAAATCAATCACTTACATATTGAAAAACTTCTGCACCTTCATCGAAATCAACCATAGCAAAGAAGAGTTTGTTTGAAAATGCCTTTGAATAGCGGTAGCTTTGTGCCACAACTTGAAATTCATCATGTGCGTGTCTAAATATCGAATGAAACGTAAAAGAAAACAACGAAGTAACTATCATACTTGCACACTCCACATTGTCGTTGTGGTGATAATGCTGTCAACATAATAATCATCGAATAGTTTCTCGGTGGTGTTCGAACGAAATGTTTGAACCGTTCACTATTCAAACGAATCAACGAGTTCTTCGATGACCAATCGGTTAACTGTTGAACCTTGTCAGCTAAATTGTTCTATAAAAAATTGCAATAAACGAATGTCATTGTTTGAAATCTCGAATCGATCAACTAACATCAGCATGGAGAACGTTGACGATAGTACAAGTCCAAAGAAAACATAACCATAGTAGGTAATTCATCTGAATAGTTCAATGTAATGTTGCTGTTTTTTGACAAATAAATTAAACCAGCGTTTCAACTGAACCCGTTGCAACTTTTCATTGGATTTCATGAAAAATCAAATGGGAAATGAATACGATGAAAAATGTCAGAAATGTTGTCAATGTCTTGAAAAAACTCGTTCTAAATGCTAAAAACTTTCGCTTTTTCAAATTCAAACCATTCTTCCTTTTTCGGATAGATGTCATTGTCAGTCAGGATCATTAAAACATTCGATTTTCTCGGAAACTAACTACATTTCTCAAGATTCGATCTATCCAGACAAAGGTCAAAGTTCATTTTTATTGCGCAGTTGATCTATTGCCAAGAAGAACATTTTCTCTCTTCCCTTTCCTTCTCTCAACGTGTACATGTGCTATATGCATGAATGTGTTTTCCATTCGAATTTAACTACAACACGCGCGTCGTTTTTCACTTGTAGAAGAGTCATTCTATTTTCTCTGTTTACAAATAAAAACAACGACGATCACCAGTCGAAGTCATTCAGTCTGTTGTTCTATTCGCGTTCGTTTCTATTTTCTTCGTTCTACACATAGACATGCCGAATTACTCTAGCTCTTCGGTCAACACGGTCGACTGGGCGATGGGTTATGAGGGTAACATCTTTCCTACACGTATGTTCCATCTTACAATTCATTTCTTTGTCTTTCAGGCAGTTGTACAGTCAAACAACGAAATCTTTTAGAAGGTCTACAAGTTTCATCAACACCAACACCGCCGCCATTTCAGGATTTTATCTCACTTGTTCATACAAAGAAACGAACTCATACAAGTCTAAGTCTTAGCAGTAACAGTAGTGATGGTAGTTATTATCTTCCACATCAAACTCCATCACCATTACTCGATCATACCAATTACAAATATGCGAAAATTCGTGCACGACCACTTTATAACTTTAATTACAATGAATCAAGTATTTGGACACATTCATCTACATCTACGACGGATTCTTTATCGAATGCATTACCATTCGATATGGATGTTGTGAATAAATTTTTTGTGAAAGAAAATAAAACCATTCAGCAAAGTCCGCGAACATCATTCTCAACAACATCAATGACCCGATCATTTCAAATACTCGATAAATCGTCTCAAATCACATATGATGTCACCATGCGTCATTTAATTCAATTATTATCGAAAACACACTCAACTATTGATGATGTTCTTCGCGGAGTCGATACAGGCGATATCAACAGTGAATGGTAAGATGGATTTCAATTCTCTTCTTTATTGTTTGTTCTACCTAGGCTTCAATGTGTCCAACGTTTAAATAAACAGTTTCAAAAGCATTGCAAAAACAAACTTCAATTCGAAACTTTTAATCTCGAACATTTACACGAACTCAATCCCGTTGAACAATTCTTCGTACAACTCCTTCGTATACCAAATTACAATTTTAAATTGAAATGTTACCAATATCGTGATGAATCTCATTCCCAATTACTCTTATTAAATCAAATTATCGATCAGCTATTACATGGAATCAATCGCATTCTTAATCACGAACATTTACCGCATATCTTGCAAATCTTATGTCTTTTATACAACATTGTCTCGAATAAGTGTGTGCCCGGTCTGGATTTCATTTCGTTAGTCGATGCATTGAATTCGCCGACAAATCAGTCGAATAAAACAGTTGCACATGTTTTAGTTGAAATTCTTGATAAATACTATCGAAATACGTTGGTTCATACGATTAACGATGAAACGTTGATTGAATTGAAGAAAGTCCATACAATTAAATACGATAAAATCTGTGCGGAGATCCGCGAAATCTATGAACAATATCAGCAAATGACATATGAATACTCTCTGTTAAAAAACAATTACGATTTACCATTATTTATCTCGTCGATGCTCTCTGAGAGCAAAATTCAATTCGAAAACTTCTTTGAAAAAGAAAATCTGCTGAGAAAAGGTGAACGAGACCTCGCTGCATATTTCTGCTCGAATGATTTATCAGTTGATTGTTGTTTATCAATGGTTGGTCAGTTTATCGATAAACTTCGGTTAGCAAATTTGGAAAACACGAATGAACAGCAGCGAAGGTTGTCAGTCAAAGGAAATGAACGTCAACGTTCAACGTCATTGTTGATAAACACTGCCGCTTCGTTTTTATCATGTGTTTGAATGAAATTCGATGGTTTTATAGTTGTTATTATTGTTTCTCTGTTTTAAACTACCAGTTTAGTTTCATTGTTCGATGTTATATACGTTTATTTAAAAGAGAAAGAGAGGAAAAAATATATGTATAGAGAAAATCAAAAAGAAACGAAAACGAAGTGTGACATTATTAATTTTGTCATTAAAATAGATTGGAATCATAGATAGACAAGAGAGATCAATTTTGCACATATTACAATCGTTTCGATGAAGTTAAACGTTGAAAAACACTGTTGTTGATCGGAGTTGTTCGACGTAGATCAGTTGTACTTGTTGATTTCTTTCGATTGTTCGGTAAACTAGCTGACGGAAGGACATTGGTGAGTGTTGTTTTAGTTGCCGGTTTCGGATGGTGATAGGAGGTTGGAGGCTTTCGAATGGATTTCGGTGAAGAGACGGAATTGGAGTCAAGATCACTGCTTGAACTAAATAAACGTCGGGTTCGGGGTGAGGGACGTTTGAGTGCGGATGAGTCCTGATTGGCTGCAGTAGACGCTTGAAAAGCACGAAGAGGTTTTTCAGTTGGTCGGGTGAAGGTAGAGCGGAGAAGTTGACTACTGTTCAAGAAAAAGTTCGGCGGTGAACGTGTTTTAGTGACGACGGAAGATTTGGAATGATTGTTAGTGGTAGTGGTGGTAAGTGATGATGAGACGTTTTGACAAGAACTAGCATGGCTAAGACGTGAAGATGTCTTGCGAATTTTTGGAGAATTGGGCCGAGAGGAGACGTTAGCGACAGGTTGAATAGTACGAGTTTTGCTTTTGGGCTTGGAACTTGTTGTGCGACGATTAGAAACTGCTGAACTAGCAGAAGTGGCTGTTTTTGCTATGGCCGTCGTTGTTGTTAAAGTAGATGCTGATGAGACTTCATCCGGTTCTGCGGCAGTTGGTAGTAACGGAATTAGGGGGGGTGGAGAAATTGTTGGAGTTTTGGATGGCTCATCAGCATCTTTTTCCGTCCATATTCGTCGAGACACAGCACAACGTTGAATATGACGACTCGATCGAATCGAGATAGCTGTAGTGGTGTTATTATTATTACTTGTATATCGCACACTCTCAGCAGACGGTGTACGTTTTGCCATTAGACTCTTCACTTGACTCTGGAGTCCATTCGAATTGAACGTTGGATAACTATACGCGGAAGCCGATGTTCGTAGTAAACTTGTTGGTCGACTACTAGACACCGTTGTCCGTTTATTTATGTTATTACGCATACCACTGTCATGACTCAATCGACGAGTCGAATTGAATGTTAAACGTCGAGTAAGATCATCTGCCAGGGTTTCTTCCAACGTAGTCGATTTCGTTTCATTTACATTTGTTTCCAATGGACATGATCGCGGAGTGATTTCTACAGTTTCACTCACGTTAGATTGTGTTTCGAAACCTTCATCAAGTGTTTCAGAATCAGATAGTAAGAATGCTACGATAGGTAAACTAGGATTCTCCTCATTAGAATGATCAACAGGTACTGATGAACTGGAAGATTGTGGATTATCATCTTCCGCTGAATTTGTCAACTAAAACAAATTGATTCTTTTCAATAAAACAATCTTCGCTTGAATCGACATCATCAATAGCAGATTCTACATGTGTGTAAGCTTACCTTGTTTGTTAGTATCTACGTATAAAGCAAAGAATGTCTACTTTGAAAAGTTACAACTACGAAGCTAACGCTTGTATTTAGAGAAGAGATCAAACATGCATGTTTTTCTGTTAATGTTATATTAATCTATACTATTGCTTTTCGTTTCTTTTGTTTCTCAGCAGAATATCAATCATTCATACAAAACACGGTGTTATATCAACTAATAGATGCAAAGAACGAAACAAATCATGAATAAAGTTAACAATAAATCAAAAGCGAAACTGAAACCAGATGAAGGAAAAAACAAAACGCGAAAATAGAACTAGAATGAAAAAGATCTTTTTTTTTTACTAATCATAAAGATAAACCATCACTGTTTCGCAAAGAAAAAACAAATCAAATCAATATGAAAATGGAAGAGAGAAAAAAATGATATAAAGAAGAAGATCAGTCTAATTCACGCGCAATTCCAGGATATGAATGTCTTTCGTCGAAAATTGTTCTTTATATCGGATGTATGCCGTGAAAATTTGCTATCTTCTTAGGTCTAACGAACAGAATACAAATAGTGTCAAGCGAACAAATATGAAAAAAATTTGATGTGGCTGTCTTTTTTCTCTTTTAATCAATACCATCCTTTTGAAGACACGGTCATGATCGTTGGTCGGCAAATTTGATGAACTAAACTTGTATACCAAGGTGTTAACTACAAAAGTAGCAGAAGCAAAAAGAACGAAAGCAAACAAACAACACAACACAACAAAAGAAATGTAATGAGAAAGAAAAAACTAGAACGGTTAACGAAAGAATTAATTTGACAAGAAAAAAGAAGAAATATGTGTTAGTAAACTACAGACTAATCATAGGTGGGATATTTAAGAATCAGCTTGTATATACTAGATTTCTTTACCTCGGGTGGATTTGGAATATCAGTTGATGTAATTGGTGTTAGTGTAGATAGATATGTGGAATTCTCTTTATTGTTGTCATCGTCGTTATCGGAATATTGAAAATGTTGATAATCGGTGAATGAAGGTGTTAATGATGCGTTGGTTTTGTATTCATTCGAGGAGATCGAATCATTTGGTGTTGATTGATCAGTGGAAGGATCGAATAGACGTCGGATGGGTGTTGTTAAGTAAAACGACGGTCGAATTTCACAAACAGATATAACACGAGCTGCTGCTGTTGTTGATGGTTCATTCGCTGGTAATGAATGATCATCATTCATATCTGTATCCGTTGAATTCATTTCTTCACTTGTTGTTGTCGTAGTTGAACAATCCATTTGATTATCTTGATCGACTTCTTTTTCCTTATTAATTGTCGGAGAAATAAATACATCATCACACGTTTGTTCTTGTTTCGATGTGCATATTGGTAGAGCGTTGAATGGTCGTTTAGGAAACACGGTTTTCGCTGTGGGTGAATGGCCACGTTTGCGCGGTATTGCATTTGATAGAAGGTTTTGCGTACGCATTACGGTTGGGATAGGAGGTGCAGTTGTTGCTGTGGCTACTGCTGATTCCATTTGCTCTTGTTGTTGCTGTTGTTGTTGTTCGTCGTTGATATACGAAACATCACGTGATGATGCACAAATGCGCTCTCGAGATGTTTTATTGACTTTTACACGTTGTCGTGCCGTGGTTGGTGTTAATGGAACGTTTAGATGATCACGGAATATATTTGTATCTGAACCGTATTGATTTTGAGAGCTTCGTAATAGGCGCGACGTTGTTGGGGTTTGAAGGATTCGGTTTTCATACGCTCGCTGTTGTTGAAGTTGTTGTTTGAGTAACAGATCATTTCGACGACGTTGTTCAACATTTTGCATATGAGCTAAACGAAGTTTATCAATAAACTGCCCTAACGTTGATAAACAGGTTTCTAATGACAAATCCCAAATACAGAAATAACTTGCTAAATCTTTTTCACACTTTTTGATCTTGTTTTCATCATCAAACAATCGCGTGAATACACCTTGCATATCATTTAAACTTGTTTTGATATGTTCCGGTAGAAGAATTAATTGCTGTTGTAATTCCCTTAATGTACTATTCAATTGCTTGTAACGCGTGTATAATAAACGTATATCAATATAGATTGGTATATACTTTAGTGCGGATAGATCTTTCAGTTTTAATAATATTTGATTATCAAATATATTCAACAAGTTGGGATATTGTTCTTCTAATAGATGGCAAAGAACATGTGCGATGGTGATATTTTGTTTTGGTGTACGAGTGGACAGGACAGAAAGGAGTGAATCGAAATGAAGACCGGGGATCGCTTTACCTGTTATACTGTTATAAAGTAAACAGAGTAAATGAAGTGTACCTGGTAGTTGTTCGTTGTTTAAGATAACTTGGACACTTTCAAGGAGATCATGGATGTGTTTACTCATACGTTCAAGTTGCGTTGGCGCTTCTTCGAGAAATTTCAAGTAAATCAGTTTAAATTCGTAGGCTGGTACACGAACAAGTTTAACGAAAAATTGTTCAATGAGTACCAAGCCATGTGTCGAACCTTTGTGTGCTAAGACTCGAGCTTTATCTTCAGGTCGTTTATCAAATTGTTTATTCAGAGCAGTAACAGCATCAAGCCTAGAATAACGAAGAATCTCCTTAGTTTCACGAAATCTACCGATTCTATTTGCTTAATTCGAAGTTTTAGAAAAGTGTTTATCGAGCGAATAAATTTAAGGTCTGATAATAACACTTACCATTCCGAATTCATATGTGTTTCATCAATAGCTCTAATAACATGATCAATACTTGCATCATCATCGTGATCTTTCTTAACCAATTGAAGTAAATGACGCATAGGTACATCATAAAGCATTTTAGATGTAGCATCAAGTAAAACAAATGATAGTGGTCCATCATCACTCATATTGCCGAGACCTCCTCCTCCTCCTCCTCCGATAAATGATGTTGTCAGACTTGATCGTCGATAATGACCTGTCATTGACGAGTTTGATTCACCATAATGTTGATCAAAAACAGTTTGTTGTATTCGAAGATTTGGTAAAACACGTCGTGTCCAAATATTGTTGCCAGCCATGAGCATTGTTGGAACAGAGCGTGCTTGAATTTCGGTAACATTCGCACGATTAACAACGAGATTAACTTCTTGATGTGGAAGTAATACTTTACATGAGTTATTGGTGTTGTTGTTAAACACAGGTGGTGCAGGGGGTGGAGGAGGAGGAGGCGGTAATCCAACGAAACCATCAGAAGGCGACTGGCTTGATGTCATGTTTGCTGTAGGTAGAGAAAACAAAGTGAAATACTTATGCAAAATAAAACAATCTGTCGGATGAACGAACCAATTTTAAAAACATCATCAGTAGGCGAAGAATATTGAAGAGTCGTCGTCGGAGTGGTCAACATCAGACTTCGCCGTCTCTCTCTCGCTCAGGACAAACTAGGATGTTTTATATTGTCTAAAATAAAATTCCAAAATCATTTTCTTAATCGAATTGTTATTTGCTTCGATTGAACGAAAATTGGATATTTTATATATCCACATGTAGATATATCGACATTCTACTGATGAAATCGATATGTACAGTGAGATATAGTCGATGAATCATCGAGTATTTATATCTTGCGAGGAACGAACAAGTGAAGACATCATTCGAAATAAACAAAGATCATCTATAGATGTATCTATTCTCGTTTAACAGAGACAACAACGAACAAAATGATACGAAATAGTTAGATAAATACATTATATATAAACGATCTACAGTACTGGATAGAAATCATCCAGTCAATGACGAGAAAAAGAAAAGATGAATGAAAGATATCTAACGATGATCCCTTGAAAAGATTAACATTTTGATTAGAACTTTTCGACAAGTTAATCAGTATGTGTGTTTATATTCAAAACACATCACATATATCAAAAAAAAATTTATTCTTACTTTATCGTTTATGTGTGTCTATATTTACTTATACTTTTTTCAAGTATGTTCGACCTCATTCTATGTCTATTCTCTATCACTTTATTGTTTTTCATCTCGATGTTCATTGATTCCTTCTCGTTCTCCATTCCTATTCTTTCTTACCTGGCACCCTAATCGAAAATGTTACATGCAGACAGTTTGATGATCTAATGTCATCAGATGATAGACAAGCAGTCAGTCATAACATCAAATTGAACTGATAATAGAGTGCGGAGTGCAATGCGTTGTACGTCTGCCATTTTCGTTTCGTATCTATCTCTCGATATACCAATCTATACATATGTAACAACAAACATCTAGATGTAATTGTTTCATCTGTCGTTCTTCCCTTTCCTCCCCCCTTCTTCTTCTATTGTTCAATAGTTATATTGCTTACAAAAAAAAAACGCGATAAACTTCGTATGCAAAAAAAATTCGCAATGGGTCTTCAATATAAAAAGGAAAAAAAACCGTTGTTCAAAATTGTGTAATACGTACGCGATGCGCGAGAATACTGAGTGGCTATTAATAAGGAGAAGAAGAAGAAGAGAAAAAAAGGACGTTGAGAGAAAGAGAGAGAGAGAGATGACATTGTACCTTCTGGATACTTATCTCTCATGTAAGCATATGCGCTTGTATGCTTAACGAATATTGATAGAATGAACATATGAAATGAAAAAGAAGATCAATTATCAGTTATTACTGATCTTCTTCACAATACTCAAGGCTTCTGTTCATTTGCTCTCAGGCCAATCGATACGAATAGTTGAGTATTTATGCAGAGAAGAGGAAAAGTAAGAGAAATATGAAAAGGCACGATTCTGAGTTTGTCTATGTCAATTTACACACGGCAAATTCATTAAAATGATCGAAATAGCATACAATGGCTTCTGAATAATAAAGACGAATAACATCGAGAAAAATCACGTCGAGACACGATCCGCTCTCACTATTGTATACATGTATGAATATACATGGAGATGTTTGCATGGAGTACAACAAATCAATAAACAGAACAACTAATTTATTTTTTGTTGTTCAAGGTTAATTTCTATTTTTTCTCAATAAAGTCAATCAATGCAAACATAATACATCCTTCAAGTTGATCAGATCTCGATTTGAAAGTGTTTAGCATATCAAACATGAATGAACGAAAGAAGAAAGCGTCATTCGAGAAGAGGAATCAACATTGATAACATTCTCATCTTTTCCTTGTCTTATTTGATCTAAAGACATTTACTCACACGTATAGTCATACATATGTATATTATCTGAGGACACTATCACAAAATGGACTGTCTCAATTGGCATTTCAAGTGAAATCGAATAGTAAATTCTTATGATCTAACAAAGCCCTAAGACATACTCATTTATGTATATATGGAGCGTGAGAGCTACATCTGTATGTTAATAAGCTTCTTTCATCTTATTCTTCCTCTTCGTTTTCTTTCATTTAGCTTACATCTCAAGTCTCTTTTTCATTCACTTTCACTTTCATTCTCCTCGATTTCGACACTCCCAATGTCCATATTCACGCAATGTATATACATTTTGCTGGCCAATATACGCAATTCTTTGCCTTTAAACTATACAGTTGTAGTAACGATTGTGACATATTCGAACGTTATCGTCGATGATCATGTACAATTGATTGTTCGATGTTTAATTGTATTGCGCACTATGATGACCACTACCGTCGTCATACGGTCTTCATAGTTTTTCTTTTTTCTTTCCCTCCCTCTCCCTCTCTCTCTCTCCTTTTCTTCTTTGTATTGAATAGAACACGCAAGAAGCTACATAAGTTGATGATCGATCGTTTATGATGGGAAGAGATGGGGACAAGAAAGTCGAAAGAGAAAAAGAAAGCAACTGATTTCAACATTTGTCACCTCTATTTTCTTTTTGACAGTAACATTCAATCGTTTAAATATTCGTTTACAAAACACACGTTTGATGTCCATTTTCAAACGAGGGTATACATTATATCTCCATATACATAACAAATAAAACAAAAACGAATGAAAACCATCTGGATGTATATGTGGTCACCTTCGAGGTTCATGTATACACACACACATATATATATATATATATATGTATAGAAGCAAAGACAAGATAAAGTTTGACGTAATCAAAAGAATTAACGTATATAATATACATATATCAAACTTCATTGAAAGTAGGATGTTGTGTATATGATGAAACAAAAGAAATATCTTAACTTAATGATCAAAGATGACATTTATTCTCTTTACTTAGAAAATTTTATCTACTTAAGTTTTATACATTCACCTTCAAATGTCGGTAAAGATGTGAAAATCTCTCTCTCACAAAGATGACTAGTTTGATAATCTGTACGAGAAAGTGAGAAGATTTAGAAAGAATAGAACGAATCTCTTCTCACATATACGTATCATCAATGTTGTACATTTACGATTGATTTAAATCAACAGAATATTGAAGGTGAGGGACAGTTATATCGTTTGTCTTTCTCATCAACTAAATAACCTTTCTATGGGTCATCATTAAGATGAATGAAGATTGTTAAATGAAGTGCAAAGAAGTCTTCATCGACTTACCCCGTTCTTTACGTGTTATGTTATGTTTATTTATCGAAGACTATTAGCAATATCATCGAAGACAAACGACAAGCACGTCGGTTTTTTCGCTCGTTTGTCTAATTTTGTTCTTCGCAAGCATACAACTGGTCCGAGCGATTCTGATGATACTAACCTAGTGTAATAACAATCATATGATGTAATCAAGTCGAAAAAAAAACGAAGATGACCGTTAGTTGTCGTTTTTACTCCTATGCATCGCTTGGATGGACGTATTTATCCATCCATGATCGATCTAAGCCTCAAGGTTCAATAGTATTTGGACTGTCATCGATTCAGAGGAGAGAAAGAGAAAGTGAAACAGATCTTCGATATTTTTCATCGTTTAGAAATAAATGCATAAAACTGGTGATAAGCTTTTATTTCACTTCTCGTCGTTGTCAGCATTTGTTTGCTCTTGACCAACAATTATCAATAGTGAAATGATACAACAAGGACAAGGAAATCTTTTGTTACAAATACGAACGGATGACCATGAGATAAAATTTAAATCGAAAGAAAAAATATACACTAAGTCTTAGACTATTTACTTGTGCAGATTTCGACAGATTAATTTAATCATCTGATATTTTATTAATTCCATTTAAAGAGAAAATCGAGCAAAACAAAACCAAAATCACGTCTATGTATAGAAGTTTATGTTTTTTTTTCGTCCTTTGATACAATGAAAAACATGAATTACAAAAAAGTAAAGATACGCGAAGAAGTATGTGAAATATAGGTTTTAAACATTGGAACATCGAGTACAAACAATGTAAACACGATTTTTCATCATATAAAAACTTGTTTGAGACTTAATTCTGCACAAAATGGACCAATGATATAAACAGTGGAAAAATACAAGATTAATCCGAATGTAATTGATATTGGTAGAGCTGGTAATGCTTTACGAAAGATCGCCAACAGAAGCAATGTTAAACATAAGCCCTACAAAGAAAGAGAATGAGTAAAAATCATGGGAGATTCAAAGCTACGTACAATTAATAATGAAAGGTAACAGGCAACGGTCACATTCCAATCGCCGAGTGCGGATGCTTTCGCAAGAAGGATTGAATAGAAGATAAAGTCACCCAGACCAAGTTTAACACCTTCTGAACAATTTTAAATAACAAGAAAGTCAAGAGATTAGAAGAGAAATGAGATGTAATCAGTTTAACTAACTTTCGTCATCGTCTTCGTCAGGAACAGGCGAGTTTGATCGTTCGACGACGTATCGAGGTTGTTCACGTCGTTCTTCAGTTTGTGGAACATCGGAGCGTGGAATTAGCTGACGTCGAGCATTATTATTTCGTGTTCTCGCACGTTCATTTCTTTGTTCTTCAGTTAATGGTGCATCAACATTCACTAAGTAATACAAAGCTTTCATAGATAAAATAAAAAAAGCTAATGTAATAGTTTACCAGCCGTATTTGTAGCCGTAGCTATTGGTGTAAATTCAGGTTCACTCGGTGGATCTATGGCAGTTACCATATAGACCACAGTTGCTAAAATGTAGTAGAAAAACAAGTTACTAGTCTAGTGTGTTTGATGTGGATTTACACGAATAGATCAAAGCAGGAAATATCGGTTCACCACGTTCTTGGGCAGTTTCAACTAGGATACGTAGTGGCCCTTTAGGACACAATACAGCAATAAGATCTGAAGAAAGACTTGATTATTAAACGAGAATTCGTTTAGTTTGTAAAATACCCCAGATGGATATGACACCGAGAATGAGCCAACCTGTCCAATCTGGTAGGAATTTATAGAAGACAAGTGCCAGAAGAGCGGACATAAGAATCAAATAAGCTTGTTGGACGCGTAATGGTCCTTTCCAATGAATGCAGAACATGCCGACAACACCGACATTCCATGTAAGAAAACAGATGGTGATCATATCGATCGGTTGATTTAGTGAAGCCGAGATACTACTGCAAAATATAAAAAACAATGAGATATTCGTATCTAGTATTAGTCTTTCTCGTCATACAAACCTCAAATATGAGTAGAGAAAGAAGAAAAGTAACATCAATGTTGTTAAAATCAGCCAGCCATGAATGATCTGCAAATATTTTTATTAAAAAATGAGAACTATGATGCTATATAATGACATACCTTGTAACATTTGAATTTATATAGAAGAATTAGAATGACAGTAGCTGTGATAACGAAACCCATGAAAATAAATGTATTGGCTAATGAAAATAAGATTCTCTGTGTATTTGTTGGTTTGTCTTCTGTAAATGGCGTATAACTAAAGCAAATTCGAACAAAATCCAAATGAAATCATCGTTTTCTTCACAAATTCTTACGCCCATGTTGCTCCACCTGGAGTATATGTACCTGAAGAAACAATTCAGTTTTATTCTATCATTGATGCTCAAAAGAAAACTAGACGAACTTGTTGTTTTGATTGTTATTATAACAATTAACATACATAATGACACGGGTACAAACAGTTTCACCACGTGACTTGCGCCTAAAGATGAATCATACATAATATATTTGTATAAATCGACAAAAACGGATTAATCAGCTAACCATATTTGAATATTTCTTCATTTTCATTATTTAATGGTCTTTGTTCGTCATTGTTTCCATCAGGTCGATGTCTATGGGGTCTGTCGTGATCTTGTGGATCAATAGCTTCGACTCTGGCATGAGTAGAAGCAGTTGTTGCTACCGCTGCATTCGAAGATACGTTTTCCCCAACTGTTGTTGAACCCTATAAAAACCAAATCTTAGGATCTGGCTTTTTAAAACAAAACTTCAAACTTGGATGATTGCAACATCGGGCACAGAAGCAACATTTGATCTCTGTTAATCACACAGGTTGGTTAGTAAATAAAACAAAGGTTATGATTAGCTATTAGTTCGATTTAGTTTCGAAAATACCTCATTGCCATTGATGAGAACATCAGCTTGAGGATTCAACAGTTCGGTCATATCGTCGTCGCCAGCCAAATTTATTTCAGTGTTGATCCAACGTTGCATACGCGTGTAAAACAAATGAATGATATTTATTTGTCTGTCTTACTTCTCATTGGTTTGTTTCGTTCTCTTAAATTGAATGCAACTAGCGACATTAGAAATAGAATTTTCTATAAAAGATAAAGGAACGATTTTTGATTGTTTACACCAATGAGAGCATGTGTTTTGTTCGTCCGTCGATTTGAATTTAGTCATTCGATATGAGCGGAGCATCGGCATTAGCCACCCTCAAGATGGTTTGAGTTCTCTCGATCAACTTTCGTCTTCATTTGTTCGTGATTGTTTTTCCGACTGTGCACAAGAAGTTTTCAGTCATGAAGTAAGAAAGTTGAAAAATAGCCAAGTCTTTCAGCGTTTTATCGCTCGAGAATTGGTTCAACAAAAATAACTTTGCACAGACAACTCCCTCATCGAATCTTCTTCTACTAATCTTTCCGTTCGATGTCTTGTCTCTACGAATCTTTGGAGAATTCTTTATCTCTCTGACCTACCTATGTGGATAGTTGTTAGGGAAATAAAGTTCCGAGACATGGAAAGAGATTTTGATCAGAAATTGAAAAAACTCCGTTTGATTTGGCGTAGCTGCGAGATTGCTTGTCAATCTCGGTTTTTGGCTGCTGGATTTTGGAGTAAATGATCAAATGGGAGAAGCGATCTGATCGCAAAAATTAAAAGCGCAATTTATGACGACAATCAAATCAGATTATTTGATTGATACAACGGCATACAAAGCGCGACAGATTTTTTTATGATGAAAAATCTTTTCTTTCTAATAAAACTAAACAAATCGATTTCATAGTAAAAATAATCAAAAGTCCAATTGCGTTGTGATGTTTATGATTAATTCAAACGTTTTTTTTGTGAGTTTAAAGTATCGGCATGTCTTCGGGCAAAAATAGAATGCTGTAATGAGAAAAAATTAATTAGTATTATGATTATTCAAGAAAGAAATCCGGACACGCTTATTTTCGAATGTTAAGTGAATAATATGAAATTTATTCTGAGATAAAAGAAGGAATTCTATCAATAGCTTAGGCCGAAGGAAATTA